GTACCGGGAACCGAACTCACGACCTTGCGCTTGCCAGGCAGGCGCTTTTGCCGCTGAGCTAAATCCCCAGCCCCTAACTTTTCAAATCTTTTAGTGCCTTAAAATAATACTAAAAAAAATTGAAGTTGAAACAGAAGTGACCTATGGTTGGGTTCCAAATAGTATTTGTTACCTTCAAAAAAACAAAGTGAAAATAATATATACATATTGTTGAAAGGAAGTTCAAACACAGGAAGGTGTAACAGGGCTGACTAGTGGTCTGTCACTCACACAGTATTGCCGTGTCCCTCTTCCTGGAGACTTGTATCCTTAGTAGGTAGCACAGCGGTGCACTTGTGTGCATGCTCAGCACACCCTGCTTTGCCTCACTGTGTTTGAAAGAAGGGGCAGAAACTCAGCTGTTGGCGTTGCTGAAGCTAGAAATAGATCACATGTGCTGGGGTTGGGGCGGCTAGATGTGCAGGCTATTCAGGCAAAGTCACTAGGCGGAAGAGTTGAAATTGACATCAGCCTCCTCAGAGTATAAATAAAGTGTGCTGTGGTGGTTGAACAGTTCCTTTCCTACAATCTGGAGAGAGGGCTCAACCTGATCTCAGCTTTGTGTATATTGTCTCTTATTTTTATTTCTCCATCCTCTTGCTGTTCCCCCTTACCCTTCAACTTCCAGAGCACAGAGGAGGGGTTCTCTTCCAGGGAAAGAGGTTTTTGGTGGGCTTTTGAGAGGGTGGGTCAGTTCTCCAGGAAATGCTTGTATCCTGCTGACATCCTTTGGGGACGGCTGGTGACCTTAATCAAAATGAAGTCTACGTCTCTAAGATGGCAGGTGGGCTTATTCAGACTGGCAGCGTCCCTGTCTGGGCTCTATCACTGTTTCTTCTACCTGATGATCTGTCACAGGCAGAGGTGCCTGCTGCATGTTCCTCTGTGGTATGCCACTTAGGCTGTGTTTTTTTTTTTTTTTTTTTTTTAGAAGCATAACATTGCAGTGAATGTCTTTGTGCATAAATGTTGAACCTTTACATATCTATCAACAAGGCAAATTCCTAGTAGTAGTAAAATTATTGGTTAGAAACTTAAAATTTTGACAGATTTTTGTCAAATTCCTCTCCAGGAGGATTGCAGCATGTTTCTGTGCCTGTCAGATAGGTAAAGTTAACTTTACACTTTGAATTTTGTCCTTGACTTGAGAGAGAAATTGAGTATCTTTTTATAAGTTTGTGTTTTTTGTGAACCTGCAAATAGTTACCCTTTTTTAATAGTATATATGAGCTTTTTAAGTGGAGGAAATATATTCATTGCTGCCTTCTGGTTGTAATTTTTTTTCCCTAATTTGTCATTAGTCGTTTTTACTTTTCCCCATGCAAAAATACTTTAATAAAGTTAGATTTTTCAACCTTTTTCTTTTGTTTTTTGTTTTTTGAGTCAGGGTCTCAATCTACAATTCAAGCTGCCTTTGAACTTAACTATGTAGCCCATGCTGGCCTTAAATTCACTTTGATCCTCCTGCCTCAGCCTCTCAATTACTGAGATTACAGGTGTGCATCACTATGCCCATCCTCAGCCTTTTTCTTGACTCTGTTTTTTTATTGTGACTATCAAGTTTTCTGACACCACTGTGGGATGCTAGACTATGCCATGTCAGGTTGGTTGGGCATGCTGAATGTAAAGCTGAGCCTACTGGACTCTAGGTCCCTGGTCATGTCCTCATTAGAGCTGAACATTAGTTCCAGGGCTGCTGCATGTCTGGTGGACCCAGCAAGGTGGGTGATGAGGCTGAAGCCTAGCATAGGAGGCAGGGCCAGGAATTTGGACCTCACTGAGGAGATTTTTCATAAATGTCAGGTAACCAGTGAGGTCCAATGGCTTTAGGCTGTTCTTTCACTTACACTGAGGAGGAGAAAGGTTGAGACTTGAACCAGATGAGCCCTTCTCTTCCTGGCTGTAATTTGAACCTGCTTGTTTCTTGTCCTGTAGGTGAAGAGATGGCGTTTGTGAAGAGTGGATGGTTGCTGCGACAGAGTGAGTACACACACTTGGGTCTGCATTTAGGCCAGCTTAGGGGAACATCTGTATTTGTTTGCTGAAGCAGATCATGTTTAAAAACAAAACATAAAGTTTTACTGTGTTGCTGCCTTGAATTTCCTCTTGGGAATTTTTAGAATTCTGTTAACTATCTTTCTGCACACAGGGAACTCCTTGGTTGCTGAGTTCATAGGAACCTGGAAACAATGGCAGTCCCTTCTGCTGTCTCTTTCTCACTGGCACACTTTATGATTGACTTGAGATGAGATGATTGACTCACTGGCTAAACACCTAGTTACTGTTGTATTGGTGTTGAGGGACTGGTTTCTTTGGGCGTGAGATATGCCTGAGCAGATTCTGAAATACTGGAGCCTTTCTAATTGTATGGAGGAAGACCTGACCTGAGGATATGAATTTATCAAAAGCCAAACTTTTATCTCCAAAAGTGACTCAAGAGAAGACATTTAATTCTTATGAGATTGAGATCTACTTTCCTAGATTTGTTTCCATGGGCCAAGTTTTGATACATTGTGTGCACGGTCTTCTCATCTCCGAGGATGCCACTTCAAGTGGGATTTGTCTTATGCTTTAAGGAAAGAATAAACAGATTATTCTGCTGTTCTAAAAAGAGCATAGTTAAGGAGAAAGCCACTAGTATATTATGATTCTAGGAAAAAAATCTGAAGCAGGTGTTGTGTACTGTGAGACTTCAGTTTATATTTGAGGGATACATTCACAGTTTAAAGTTGAGGTGAGTGGTGATGAGTCAACTGCAAACCTTAAAAAAGCTATTGATCATCAGGTGTGGTGGCGCATGCTTATAATCCCAGTATTTGGGGTGCTGAAGCAGTAGGATCACCACAAGTTTGAGGCCAGCCCAGGTTACATAGTGAATTTAAGACCAGCTTGAATTACACAGTGAGACTCTGTTTCCAAAAACAAACAAAAAACCCACAGAATCTCTTTTTTTTTTTTTTTTTTTTTTTTTTTTTTTTTTTTTTTTTTTTTTTTTTTGTTTTTTGTTTTTCTCCGGTACCGGGAACCGAACCCACGACCTTGCGCTTGCCAGCTAGGCGCTTTTGCCGCTGAGCTAAATCCCCAGCCCTCAGAATCTCTTGATATGAAGCTTTTGTTCTGTTGTAATGATTTTATGTATACATTCTCATTTAATTCTCACAACATCTCTGTGAAGTAGGTAGTATTATTTCCAGTTGAAACTGAGGTTCAGCATAATTCAATTAGGTCTAGTTCCAGCACTAACTCTGTTGCTACCCAGAGATGGGCCATCTGCCTGCCTGTCCCTGACCAAGTTCTGTGAATTCCCATACTTAGTGCAGAACCATGCACCCATGACAGTCTGGTAGTCTTAGCATAGACACTTATTATAATCTTGGTGTTACATGGCATGTCCTGGCATATTGGAATCTAGCCTTCCATCTCTGTAAGTTTTCCTGTCTTGTTTGGGTTTTTTTTCTTTATTTGTTTGTTTGTTTGAGGCAGGGTCTTGCTATGTAGCCTAGGCTGGGCCAAACTCATGACAGTCCTCCTGCCTCAGCCTCCTGAGTACTGGGATTACAGGCATGTGCCACCATGCCCAGCTTACTTAGGTTTTGAGATCCTTACCTCCCCTTAGTCAATATCTTCCCCTTACTCAGAACTGGAGGAGTTCTTTTTTGCTGTCCTTTGGATAGCCTCTGCTTTCTCCTTAGGCTCTACTGTAACCTTGTTTGAGGACAGGGCTGCCTTCTTTTACCACAGCGCTGTGTAAATGGTCTGTAGATGTAGTTGTAACCTGAATTTTTCTGTTTCTTGGTGGCCTGAGAAGATTTCACACAGCCTGCCCAGCTTGAATAATGAGAGACCACACTGGAGCGAAGTCTTAGTTTAGAGAAAGTAGTTTATTGCAGAATAAGAAAAGTGACCTCTAAGAGAGGGTCAAGTTGCTTACAAGCATGGGAATTGATTCTGGTTCTTCTGTCTCTCTCCTTATTTACCCCCCTTTCTACCCTTAGGGTGTCTCCGCTGGTCTTCTTATGTATGAATGCAGAGGGGACATTTGTTTGACTCTCCTTAATTTTCCCACCCTTCCCACCTTTAGGGAACCCCAGGGCTTTCTTTTGCATATGCAAAGAGGATGATGTCTTTGTTTCCAGAGTGAAAACTCTGCTCCCCTAGCTCAGCTCCCCAGTACCACCTCCCCTATTGCTTATAACCATCTGCCTGTAATTCCCTCTCAAGAAATAGTAGCTCCTGATTCTTCAAACTGGCAGTAAAGTTGGCTAGCTACTTCTCCCTGAGAGAGGACAATGCAGGGCAGGAGCTGAAGTCTTTGCCATCTGTCATGGGTGGTTGGTTCAGGGCTCCCTGGAAGTATTCTTTTGCTGGCACAAGCTGGGAGCCTTCAGTTTTTAAGGTCATCTGCAGGTTTATAGTTAGGAGGTGGGAGGACACAAAACATACAAAGAAGTTGAGGTAGCGTACAAAGAGAAAAAGAAGTTGAAACAAAAGTTGTCCCAGGAGTAGCAGCAGCCAGGAGGAAAGGGAAGGCCATATCCCCTTGATGCCGCTCCAAAGATTTTGTAGGGGCTGGGAAAGGCCCTGAAGCCAGGTAGCCTGGTTAAGGGTATTTTGTGTCCTTATTTGTCTAACCCATTTCATTAATCCAGGAGCAACGAGAATGATTAGTTACTACACAGATGCCCTTGTCTAGCCTGCATTAGATCTAACACTACCTGTTGGTAGCGGCCAGAAAATCTAGAGAAGCAGTAAGTTCTTGCTAGTTTGCCCATTTGTTCAGCCATATCACTCACACAGTGGGCACATTGGCCATGGTGACAGCTTTATAAATTGTTCCCCTTGGCAGGGCAACCAGAGAACCTGCTAAGACTATTACCCTTGCCACTACTAAACCCACCATCCTGTTTGGATGTCCACCTTCTTTTGAATGTCAATGTGATTCTTTTGGGGTCCATAGACCACCAGATTACTTTCAGGCCGTAGGATATATCCTGTCCACCAAATCCACCCCCTGAGGGTATAGTCATAACAGCTGGTGACAGGTACATAAGTTTGGAGCGATATGAACATTAGATGCCCCCCCCCCAGGCAAAGGAGTCCGGGGCTCATACTTAGTGGGGTTTGGATCTAGGAATATATGAGTATGGATCCACTGCCACCAGGAAAGAGGTTGAAGAGTTCCATCTCTGGATAGAAGCCTGGTGAGTTAGGGGCTCTGACACTGGAGATCTCACTGTATCCATTGTTGGGAGCTTTGATCATTCAGATCAAGACTGCACTCTGGTGGTAGGTGGCAAGAACAGTTACACCATCCTGTGGCATCTGAATGGTCAGGACTGGCTTTGACTAAGACAACTGGCAGGCACCTCAGTCTGTTACAACAGATGCATTTAGCTGTGGGTTACATGGACACAGGGATGATCTCTTGAGGGAGGTGAAATAAGCATTTCTACCGTCAGGCATTGTAGATTTCAAGGAAAGGGGAACCAAGTCCCTGCCAGATTGGTTTTCCAGACCATCGTGGCTATTTGGATAATAAATGGGTAAGTGGGTCTGGAAGCTCCACCAGCAGTATTGGATTAGAGTAACTTAGAGGCTTCTGAGTGCCTTATATGTGAACCAGGGAGGTGGTACATAGCCATCTGCCCCTAAGTTCCATTGTAGCATGCAGTGGGCAACTTACAAGCTTGTACCTGACCAAAGGACAACAGATATAAAACACAAAGAGACAGAGACTAGGTTAAGATGTAGTGGGCAGGGGCTCTTGTCTCCCTTTGACAAAGAGCCCTGAGTGACTGACACACCCAGGCATTATTCACTCACACATACACATAAGCAATTAGAGTAAAAGATGATTCACCTGTTTCCTACCATCCATGTTACATATTCGAGTAAACAACAGGATCTCAGCTATATTCCTTTTCCTAGCAGCACACACTCACACGTGCCTTTCTAGTGCTTACAGAAGAGGCCAGTTAGGCCTTAATCTTCGTATCTAGTGTCCCACAGTAGCACATACCCACTTAGTGAAGTTGTATTCCTGTTGTAGATCAGAAGCTATCTATATATATGTGTTAGGGGAATTCACCTCTAACCCTGTAACCCTCCCTGCTAGAGAGAACAAGAGGAAAAGAGAAAAACAGCCCAGAATTCATTTTTGGATCGCATGGACAGTCTATTGACAGGTAAAATAACATCAGCTCCTATAAAACTGGCAAGTCAGAAGGTATCAGTTAAGAACCACAATTAGGAGCCCAAGGGAAAAATTAACCTGAAATGGGGTATGAGTTAAAGTTTCTCTGTCAATTGTTACTTTTCTTTTGGAGACTTTTTGAAGAGCATCCTGAGGCCTTCCAGGGAGTCACAGGTTTTGGCTCTGAGGTGATCCTTTCCTGCTGGTTCTTTGGGATTCTGTATCCTTTGTCCAGGGCTTCAAGTGGGTGTGGTCTATCCAACAGTTCTGTCTAGTCACCTTAGTAGCAGAGTGGGTACAGGTGTGACAGAATGCCTGTCCCCCACTGGTTTAGGGGAGGCAGAGATGGTAGACAGGATCTTGATGAGAACCACATCCCCAGGACTATGTAAAAGGGTTCCCTCTTTGCTGTGTTGGACTTCTACCTTTTCTTGGAGGGCCTTCTGAAATTGTGCTAGAAAGATGACATACAGTGGTACCTCAGTTTACGAACTTAATTTGTTTTATGATTATGGGGAAGATGACTACATTTGTGTTTGTGTAGGAAGACTGTGGTTGTGTTGGGTACCAGCTGTGGAGTTTGTGAATGGAAGCAAAATTTTGCTGAATGCTTTTGTTTGTGAGCCGAATTGTTTGCACACAGAAGCGTTTGTGAACTGAGGTATTTCTGTACTGTACATGGGTCGCTACTTCAGAGTCCAGTAAGAAATCATAGGGGCTTAGTCCTGATTTTCAAGGGGCATTTCTCATCCTCAGGACGGCAGTGGGTGGTCCAGGGAAGCTCTGTCCCCTAAACTAACTTATGGAGGTGTCTTTTAGGACTCATTTCTCTTTTCTACTGTGCCTGAGGTCTGAGGCCTCCAGGTGTGGTGTAAGTGATATTGTATGCCTAGGGCATAGAGACTCCCTGTGTTTCTCTGGGCTTAAAGGCTGGGCCATTGTGACTTTGGATTCCCCCAAGCAACCCAAACTGAGGAATGGTTTCGTGAACCGAGGCTTGGACCACTTCACTTGCCTTTTCTATCTTGCATATGAAGGCCTCTATCCATCCTCCAGAAGCGTCTGATCATACCAGAAGGAATTGAAAATCCCAGGACACATGAGTAAAATGCATTTGCCAATCTTCTCCTGGGTATGTTCCTGTCTTCTGGAGACAGGAGGGGCCTGTTGATATGTTATGGAGTTGTTCTTTTGACAGGCCTACATCTTTTAGTACTTGGGTCACCATCTCTCTGAGGCCCTTTCAAAGGAACAGGGTTCAGCCCTTTGTCATGTCCCTCTTGCCCGAGCTGTAAAGATTGCTGGAGGGTCTTTGGGATTTTCGTTGGCTGACCCCAGGAAGGAGAAGTCTCTATCCTTGGTTCGGAACCTGCTGGCGGGTTGCTTTCCCCTTGAGCACCTTTGTTGTCTTAGTGGAGGAATATTGAGGCTTGACATCATTTAAGAAATGGCATCAGATCCACTGCAGGGGTTCCCTTGGGCAGAGACATTGTAAGGTGAACTGCCTGGTCCAAGGTTACAGAGAAAAGGTGGATTCTGTCAGACTGACAGGAAGATGTAAGGTGATGGGACATGCATTTCTTCCATGTCTGTCTGCCTTTCTGCATCTGCATCAGGCTATGAACTTCCTGCGAAGGGAAGTCTTAGGAAAAGAGTGTTTGTGGAAGCTCTTAAGGGTGAAGAAAACAAATGTTTTTCCAAAAGAGGGAGGTAGTATTTTCATTTGAGATTTTCTAGTTCATCATTTTCAGATCAATCCCATAAATTTAGATAATGCTGAGAAGGTTTAGAAAGTTTAAGTTTATTGGGAAGATGGGACAAGATGTGGGCTGCACACACCCGTAATCTCAGCTACTTGGGAGGATGAGGCAGGAGGATCCCAAGTTTGAGACCAGCCCAGGCAATTTAGCAAGATGGCATCTCAAAAATAAAATGTAAAAAAGGCTGGGATGTAGCTTGGTGGTAGAACACCACTGGGTTCAGTCCTTAGTACTGCCAAAAACAAAACAAAACAAAACAAAAGAAACAAAAATAGAAGTTTAGTTCTCTAGGCAGACTTGAAAAATTAGATGTTAAACTTCTTTCATTAGCTCAAAAGCTAGCCTTTTGTTTGTTTGTTTTTGTTTTTCTTCCGGTGCCAGGAATTGAACTCACAACTTTGCGCTTGCCAGGCAGGTGCTGTGCCACTGAGCTAAATCTCCCCGGCCTTTTTAAAAAATTTTTTAATTTTTAAGTTTATTTTAAAAATAAAAGGAAGACATTAACAGACAGACAATTTACAAAATAGCAAAAGAACAATACAAACAATACAGGGTTGCGAAAAAAGTGGTAGGAAATTAACAGTGCTTGTTGTATTACATATTGATATCTTCAAAGTGGTTTCTCATGAATGGCCTTTTCTTTTAAAACCTAACGTTTTGGTGTATTTTGGGACTTGTCCTTTGATTGACAGCCTTTAATGTCTTGCCATGTGATGCCTGCAGTCCTGCTAACTATAGGAGTGGTCAGGCCGAGGTGTCTGCTTCCATTTCCACTCATGCTTCAGGCCGTGATGGTTTTGTGTAGGTGTGCTTAGAGCCTCAAGGAAGAGTTTCCTTTGTTTCTTCTGAGTTAGAAGGTAAGTCTTTCTTCTTTTGACCCAAAACCAACCTTTCCCATTTTTCCAGGTACTATTTTGAAGCGCTGGAAGAAGAATTGGTTTGACCTATGGTCAGATGGTCACTTGATCTATTATGATGATCAGACACGCCAGAGTATTGAGGATAAAGTCCATATGCCAGTGGACTGCATCAATATCCGCATAGGCCACGAGTGTCGGGGTAAGCCCTCTCCCTTATCTGCCTTCCTCAGTCTTGATGGTAACTGGATTCTTTTCCACACCCCTTCTGCTTCCATTAACAGACTGAAGAAGGGCTCTGTCTGGGAGGTACAGCCACATCAGGGACCTGTGCATTGAGAGTAAACCTTAGTTGGGGCAGATAGATTGTCTCATCTGAGCTAGACCTTTTTATCTTGTGTCACTTTGGTGGAAAAGGAAGCAGCATGCTGGGAATCCTAAAAGAGATGGGGCTACCCTAGACCGTGTTGAGTGATTCTAGTGAGTGTCTTAATAGTTTGTGATGTCATACTTGCCAGGAATTGTCATATTTGTTGTTAGCCTAGCTGACCACTTTCTGCCTTTTTGGTCAGGCGATTGGTTATGGATTTATAGTCTAGTTCTTGGCTTATCTGTACTGTTATGACTTAGAATATGTAAGAAAAAAATCATTTTCTAAAAAAAAAAAAAATATGTAAATTATACTCTTTCTTTCTGCTTTTTTTAAAAATAGATATTCAACCTCCAGATGGGAAGCCAAAAGATTGTCTACTTCAGATTGTTTGCCGAGATGGGAAGACGATCAGTCTTTGTGCAGAAAGCACAGATGATTGTTTGTGAGTTTTAATTTCTTATGCATTTAATTTAGGATTTCAGTTTTTAGAAAGAGAAGAATGGGAGTGGAATTTGCTTCAGGCAGCAGAATAGGGGCTTAGTAGATGAGAGAGAAATGTAGCAGGCATTTCTTGATCTAATTTCTGCCCCTCTTGGACTGCCAGGTAATTCTCATTGTGGTGAAAATGACAGAAAGTAGTAGTTACGTTGTAGTTTCTTTTTTCATTATTAGATTCACACTAGATGGTAGGCATAGGTGAATTTTGACCTGTACACATTTTTTCATTCTTTTTTGTGGTGTCTTGGATTGAACCATGGCCTTTGCACATGCTAGCCAAGTATTTTACCACTGAGCTATATCTCTGCCCTTTTTTATTTTAGTTCAAGATATGGTCTTGGTGAATTGTCCAGTCTATCCTTGAACTTGGGAACCTCTTGTCTCTCAGCCTCCTGAGTAGCTAGGATTGTAGGTATCTGCTACCATAACCCAGTCTAAATGTTTCTTTAATAAGCATTGATATCCATGTTGTGCAACTTTTTCCTTTGTTGTGTGTTTTCTGTTTTGTTTTTAAAAGACAGCATCACTGTGTAGTAAAGGCTGGCCTTGAACTCACTGTGTAGCCCTGGCTGGCCTCAAACTCATAGTGATCCTCCTGCCTCAGCCTCCCAGATGCATGGATTGCAGGTGTGTGACATCATGCCTGGCTAGCTTTTTCCTTTCTTTGGCAGTTATTCTCATTGACTCTCTCTGCAGAAGGGTTGGGGAACTAAACCATAGGAACTAAACCCAATCTCACTAGTCCTCAGCCTGTTAAAATTGGCACTGGTACTGGTTCAGAACTTTGAAAACACCCAATTGAATTAAATTTAGTGATGAGATTGGATTTTTTCTGTTTACTGTACCACTGCAGTGGTAACTCTGGACATTGTGAGAGTTAACTGAAATAGTTTTAGGTACATGACATTTTCACAAAAGCCTGCAGACTATTTTATCAGTCTGTACTCGTCGTCAGTGTAACTGTTCTATCAAACTCTAGCGTTTATTTTAAATTCAAGATGTAGCTTATTTTCTACACTATCTTGACTTGTATCTTAACTGTCATGTTGTAGAACAAGTACAACTTTCTGAAGGACTTGTAGAGAAATGACTGTGTCAGGCTAATTTGCTACTTTATAATCTGGAACTCTGTTGTTACCATCAGATACCTAAGCTAACATGTATTGAGGATTTACTTTGTGCTAGGTATTGAGGTGACAACTGCTTTACAGATTTTTTTTTAAACTTTTATTAGTAGTACATGTTTATAGTACATAATGGCTACATTTACTGTAAGGGATTGGTACACGTGTGTAACACATTTCGGTTCCCTGCTTTTTACTCTCTCTCGCCATCCCCCTTTTAATTTTCCAGCATCAGATTCATTTATTTATAAGACCTTATAAAGTTATATACAGATTGAAAGAAGACTAATAGACTAAAAAACATATAAAACATGTAAGACAGTCGTACTAAGTCAAGGTACGTTTTTAGATACATTGTCAGATGTTTTTAATTCACTCCCTCTTATGAAATGGGTGTTACTGTTCCTAGTGTAAGAAATTGAGGCGTAGAGAGGCTGAGTAACTTCTGTGTTAGTTTTATGCTCTTGTAAGCACCATAAGTGTAGCAGCTTCAGACAGCATACCTTTATTATTATATTACGGGAATTTGAAGATCAGTTGCACAGTGTCTACAGGGCCTTGTTCTTTCTGGAATTTTGGGGGAGGTTCTATTTCCTTGCCTTTTCCAGCTGGAGGTCTCTTGCATCCCTTTGCTCCTGGCCTTTTTCTTGATTCTTACAGCCTGCAGTGTTGCACCGTGCTTTTCACATGGTCCTCTCTGCTCTGCAGGCCCAGAATGTTATATGCTTTTAGGGACTTGGGATTGATTGGGCCCACTTGGCAATTCCAGGATACTCTCCCCATGTCAAGGTTCTTAACCATAATTATAGTGGCAGACTTCCTTTTAACTGTGAGGTATATTCATAAATTGGGATGTGGCCATCTTTGGGGACGGCCATTTGGCATATCACACATTTCCTGGCTTCTGAGCTGCTATACTAGACTCAGATTTGGCTCTGTAGCTCTTTGCCCTTAATTCCTTTGCTGTGCTGTGGCTGAATTTGTTATATTTAAATCTTGGAAACAACCCAAATGCCCACCAAGCAAGGAATGGATAAAAAAGATGTGGTCTTTTTATACAGTGGAGTACTACTCAGCCATAAAGAAGGATAAACTTGAGCATTTTATAGGTAAATGGATGCAGCTAGAGACCATACTCATAAGTGAAATAAATTGGACTCACGTGTGTAAACATTGTATTGTCTCCCTGGTGCAAGAAACTGAAAGAATGAATAAAGCCCAAAAATGTACAACAGATGTTGTAAAATGGGAAGAAATTGTTCAAAGGAAAAAAGGAACTAGAATGGGAGAAAGGAGAAAGGAAGAAAGGGAAAAGGAAAAAAAAATACAAGATAGTTATACTACTAGTTTCTCTTAGTTGATTGAAAAAAAAAGTTTGTGCTAATACTTTGGAGGATATTTTATTCCCACATCTTGTACTTTGAGTAACTACTTTAAAGATAACAATATGCAATGTATTAACTATTTTTTTTATTTTTTATTTTATTTTATTTTATTTTTTGGTTTTTTTTCCGGTACTGGGAACCGAACTCACGACCTTGCGCTTGCCAGGCAGGCACTTTGCCGCTGAGCTAAATCCCCAGCCCCCAATGTATTAACTATTGTTACTGTTATTCTCCTATTATATTATATTGTGAAATTTTTTTTTCCCTTAAAAAAAAAATCAAACAGTAACAAATGTTGGCTAGGCTTCAAGGGAGAAGGAATCCTTCTTCATTGTTGGTGTGAATGTAAACTAGTACAACTGGGATGGAAATCAGTATGGAGATTCCTTTAAAAAACCTGTAACTATGAATTCTATTTGACCCAGCTATGCCTTTTCTTGATATATTCCTGAAAGAGTTGAAAACATCACATTACAGTGAACATGCATGCCGATATTCATAGTAGCACAGTTCACAGTAGCTAAACCTTGGAAGCAGCCTAGGTGTCCATCAACAGATGAATGGATAAACAAACTGTGGTATTTATAGATAATGGGGTATTACTCTGCCACAAGGAAAGATAGATTTGAGTCCTTTGTAGGAAAATGGATGTACCTTGAGTCCATTATGTTAAGTGAAATCAATCAGACATACAAACTTAAATGGCAAATGGTTTGTCTTTTATGAGAAATTGAAAATATAAGTAAAGACCAAAATAAAAGATAATAGAAAATAAGAAGAGGATCGCAAATAGGAGGGGGATCAAGAGATGGAGAGGAAGGGGGAGGGAAAGGAAATGAGTTGAAGGAATTAGGATGTGTTATGTACATGTACCAACAGGCAATGTAAACATTATATAGTGCACATATGTACAAAAATAATAAAAGGGGATATAGATCAGTGTCACAGCACCTGCCTGGCAAGTGCAAAGTCCTGAGTTTGATTCCGGGTACTAAAAAGTAAATAAATAAATAAATAAATGGAAGGGGATCAAAAGATAGGTGGAAGGGAGAGGGAGAGAAGAGAAGGGGGATGAAAGAAGGGATTAAGATGTCTTAGGTACATATACCAACTCTCCACAAGGAGTATAAATATTATGCGTTACAAACATACACTAATTTAAAAAAGCAAAAAAAGAAAACAATATAAAGTTTTGCTATTCTGTTAATAGGAAGCATGTTTGGAATAAAATGACCTAGGAAGATTGAATAGGAGACTTAGTTTGGTACAGCTGTCGCTACCAAATACTACAAGCTGGGTAACTAAAATATCAGAAATGGACTTTATGTTCTGGAGGCTATGAGCCTAAAATGAGACCCTGAGCAGCACCACATTCCCTCTGGAATGCAGTAGCTTCCTTGCCTCTTCCTGGCTTCTGGCGGTTGCTGCTGAACCTCAGTGTCCTTGGCTTGCAGCTGCATCACCCATCTCTGCCTCTGTTGCCACATGACAGCTGTTGTGTTTATGTCCAGATTTCCCTGTTATAAAGGACAGCAGTTATGTTGGATTAAGGATCAGCCTTAAAGTATGACCTCATTTAAATTTGATTCCTTTTGCAAAGACGTTATTTCTAAGTAATTTCACATTCTTAGGTGATGGGGACTCGGACTTCAGTATGTCTTTTGAGGGGACATTATTCAATACATAGTAGAGGTTTCTAAGTAAAGATGTTAAAATGAATCTGGATCATCTTTACGAAGTACCTGGTGAAGTAAGGGCAAAGCATTTCAATGGCAATAGCCAATAAAGAAGATTGATTTCAAGTACAGACTACACATAGCCAAAGGAAGAATTAGATGTTTCTGCTGGGACATTACTGTCCTTATCCTCTCCTCAAAGCGCAGAAGCAGTAACAAGACGAGTTAATTAAACATCGTCTTAGTTACTTTTCTGTTATTGCTGAGACAAAAATACCTGACACCCAAAGTTGAAAGGGGAAAAGTTTATTTAGCTCACAGTTTATAGAGGTTTCAGCCCATAATCAGCTGGCTCCAAGGCAGGGTAGCATGGCAGATAGGCATCATAGAGGAGAAATAATTCATGGTGGACAGAAGGTAGCAGAACAAGCAAGAGACAACCACAGCTCTTTTTATCCCTTATATCTTATCCAGGCTACTTAGGGTGAGTAGTGCTCACACCCTTAATCCTAGTGCCCTTGGTCCTAGCATTGAATCATAAATCAATGCCAATATCACCTATTCTAGATACAGGCACCTCTAAAAAAGCCCCACCTATGACTGCCACATGAGTCTTTCGGGGGAACATCTAGACATACACCATAACATTCTGTTCCTGGTCCCCCAAAGACTCATGCACATCCCTTTATGCAAGACGCATTTAGTCCATCTCTAAGAGTTGCCAGAGTCCTAACAGTTGCAGCGTTTCATAAAAGTCCAGGTTCAAAATCTCCTCTGAGATTTAAGGCAAATTCTTAGCTGCGAGCCCCTGAACAAATGAAAGTTAAACACTTCCAACATTCAAAGACACAAGATAGACATTTCCATTTCAAAAATTACAAATGGGGATACAGAGGTATGGGACCAAAGAAAGTCCAAAATCCAGCAGTCTTTTGTTTAGAGAATGAACCAGAGTTGGGGCAGATAGATTTTCTTATCTGAGCCAGATCTTTTTATCTTGTGTCACTTCATTGGAGAAGGAAGAGGCATGCTGGGAACCCCAGGGTCTCGCTGTGTAATTCAGCCTGGCCCTGAATTCTCTGTGTAGCCCAGGCTGGTCTCAAACTCATGGTGTTCCTCCTGCTTCAACCTCCTGAGTGCTGGGATTACAGGTGTGTGCCATCACACCCAGCTAGGAGCATTCTTTTTAATGGCAAAAATTACTGATAAGCTAAGTCTCTTACTGTGGAACTAGTGACCTGAGATAATGAAGTAGATGTGTGTGACATGAGTTAGAGAGCAAGTTGCAATACATTTCGCACTTATTAAAAAGTAAAGCAGGAGCTTGGGGGGGTATAAGGAAATGTAGATACAATCAAAGTGTGTTATGTGCACATGTGAAAGTGCCATAGAAAAGCTCAATATTCTGTAAAGTTAATATGCACTAATAAAAATGCATATTGGAAAAAGGTCTCAAAATTAAAGTAAATATTAAATAGTACACATTATGTTTTAAATGTTAAATCTCTATCATTGATATATTTAAAAAATACATATTTCTACTGCAGGTCATGAATGAGTTGTGTGTGGGCCCTGGGGCAGGTCTGAAGAACTGTATCCCCTCCTTACTCATCCGCTTGCCAATGGGAATTGAACCTGGGGAGGACTGAGCTGTACCCCAACTCTTTTTATTTTTTAAACAGGACTCTAATGAGTTCCTGGCCTTAAACCTGTGGTCCTCCAGCATCAGCCTTCTGAGTAGCTGGGACTGCAAGGATGTGCCACTGTACCCAACTCCCAAATAACTATTCTTTAAACAAGATTTTTCAGGACTTCTGATGTTAATATGGATTTTGAAAATCATTGAACTGTTGGATTGCCTCACCTAAGTGTCTTTTTTCTTTTCTCTAGGGCTTGGAAATTTACACTGCAGGATTCCAGAACAAATACGGTAAGTTAGTCGCTAATAGCAATGCCAGCAGTGTGATACTGTAAGGTGTCTTGTGTAACAGATTAGAGATTAGGAGTTTGGGAAAGGGAAATTAGGAAGTCAGATTTCTTGCACATTCAAGCATGAGTGGGCAGAGCTGGGCCCGACACCTTTTGCTGAGCTTGGTCAGGCTGGGTTTTGCCATATCGTGGCTGGAGGAACTCTCCTGACAAAGGCCTGCTAGTTTTACTGTTAATGTTCATATTTCTTAATCTTTGCAATACTTTGAATTCTGCTGTGGTTTGTAGTAGTGAAGGCAGAAGAAGAACCACAGTGTTGTTTTCTTTTTTTTTGTTTTTTTTATTAGTACATTTGTTGACTATGTAGTATTTACATTCCCAGTGGGAAGTTGGTACCTACACAGAACACATCTTAATACCTTTTTCCTTCCCCTTGTCGTTTCTTCCCTCTTATATATAGGCTGTTAGCCTATTAGACCAAAACATGTTTGGGACTTGTGCTTGTTTTCAGTATTGTTTCTGGCCTCCAGAGGTCACAGGCAGACACATGTGAATTTTTTTTTTTTGGTACTGGGAATTGAACTCAGGACCTTGTGCTTGCCAAGCAGGTGTTTGTGCTGCTGAGCTATATCCCCAGCCCTGGAGGTCACAGGTAGAAAGCTCATTTTGTAGAGCCTACTAGTGACATTTTTTTGTCAAGAAGTTTGGAAATAGGACCTCTGTGGTCAGTTTTCATTCTTTAAGTAGGGTTTGATTTTTTTTTCTTCATCTCTGTAGAAAGAAAAAAAAAAGTAGATGAGGGTTACAGAAGAATTAGTGCATGTAGGAAAAGAATTAAAAAGACCTAATACCCAAGTACGTAATGTCTTTTATTCTTGCTATCCCAAGACAGTTCTTTAGCTAGCCATGGTGGCGTAGTCCGTAATCCCAGAACTTGGGGTGCTGAGAGGCAAGAGAGGATCACTGTGAATTCAAGGCCAACCTGGGCTACATGGCAAAAGCCTGACCCCCAACCCCATGGAACAGCAAAGGGAAAAGCCCCCAAACCAAACTGCAACACAGTTGTTTCTTTCTTTCCTTCTTTCCTTCCTTCCTTCCTTCCTTCCTGCCTGTCTACCTTCCTTCCTTCCATCCATCCATCCATCCATCCATGTCACTATTCAGTGCAGGTTGGCCTTGAACTCACTCTGTAGTCCAGGCCAGCCTCTAACTCACAGTGATCCTCCTGCCTCAGCCTCCAGAGTGTTGGGATTACAAGTGTCCACCATCACGCCTGGCAAGACAGTTCTTTTCTTACAGCTTCCATTTTCCTTAAAACGTACTCTGTAGCTCCAGTACCCTTTATTTCATATGAAAATTCTCTTTTTGGGTATGATTAGTATTAATGGTCCATATAGTAATAGGCAATATCTCAAGGTAATTCTTTGTATGGATATTTCTTGAAGCTCTTTTTTCCCCCCCGCTGAGTAGCAATTTTAAGAATTTCTTTCCTTTTTAAATATGAAAGAGTGTGTGGAATTTACCTCCTCTGACTGTTACTTTTCAAATTGAGTAGGATTGTTAAGTGGTGCAGTGTCTTTAAAAGGCACAGAGCTTCTCTGGCCTTGAGGTGCCCTGAGAGCTGTGCTCCTGACCTCAGGACAGCCTTGTGGGACTAAAGCCCCACACTGGACCCAATTTTCCTAGTTCTTGGAGAACTATAGTTTTTGCCTTTTATTTTATTTGCTAAATAAGTGGTGGGTATGCATGGCGCTGAGCACAGGTACGGAGGCAGCTACCCTCTCAGCTCTTTCCTCTCACACAGGTGTGCGTGGGCTCTGCTGTCCTGTCAGAAGAGACCGCCGTGGCTTCCTCGCCCCCTCCTTACATGGCCTATGCTGCACCAACCGCTGAGGTAGGATTAGACCTGAGCAGAGAGCATCCAGCTGCCTTTTTGTTTTTAATCTTGAGCTAGTATCAGAGAAATTGGAAATGTACTCTAAACCTTTTCTTCTTAAAACCAATTATTCTGTATTATATCTTCTATGAGGTAAAGCAACTATTTTTTTCATACTCAAAATTATTCTTAAAATAGACATAATGATGAACTATGTTAATGATAGGTGCTTTGGTTAATGAGATTTTGAGGATTTATAATTTATATATAATGAATTATTTTAATTCTCTTTTTTATCAAAAAATGCAATTTTAATTTTGGTTAAAAAGCCTTAAAATAAAGTCAATACCTTTGCGTGTCCACCAGTTAGGGGAACCAACTGTTCAATGTGGTGTATTTCAGTTTTAGTTGTGTGAGTTGTGCCTGTCTTAAAAAAAAAAAAACAAACCAAACGTTTAATTTTAAAATAATGGCAGATTCATAAGAAATTGCAAAGGACAGTATAATTTTGTATACTTTTCAGCCCGTTTCTTCAGTAAAAATCAAACCAGAAATTGGAGATTGCTGTAGTGTTTATGTCTAATCCTGTCATATCACATGTGGATATTTATATAATCATCATATCCGTCAAAACACAGAATTCTTCAAAAAATCTTGATCCTGTGATACCCTTTTATAATCATACACCCTCTTTCCTAACCTTTTAACACCAATATATATGTTCTTTATAGCTACAATTTCAGTAATGTTACATAAAATCATAGAATGTATAATCTTTTAATTTGATGGTTTCACTCAGCATAATGCCCTTGGGATCTACCCATGGTGTGTATCAGCCATCTGTTCCATTTTATTGCTGAGTAGTTTCCATGGCATGGATACACCATGTTCTATACTGGATAGTGTTACCGTCTAGAGGGACATTTTGGTTGTTTCCAGGATTTATAACAGGTACCAGTAAACCTGCTATGAACACTTGTGTACAGGGTGTTGTGGAGGCATAGGTTTTTATTTCTCTTTTATAACCCGCCCAAATGCGGGTTGCTGGGTCATATGTATGGTTAGTGTATGTTTAAACACGAAAAACTGCAACAGACTTCTTTCCATTGACCCTACTATTTTACTTTCCTACCAGTAATGTCTGAGCAGTGCAGTTTCTGTGCTTTATAATAGTCACTATTTTTTCCTAGTACTGCAAATTGAATCCGTGGCCTTGCACATGCTAAGCAAATATTCTGCCCCTGGGTCCCAGTCCTTTAATTTTTGAGACAGGGATCTTGTCAGGTTACTCAGGCTGGCTTTGAATTTGTGATCTTCCTGCCTCGGTCTTCAGGGTAGTGCGCCTCCATGCTGGGTCTTGTCACTACTTTTTTGTTTTAGTTATTCGATACATGTAGTGATATTTTACTCATGGTGTAATTTGCATTTCTCTAATAGGTACTGATGTTGAAGATCTTTTAGTATGATTATTTGCCATCTATATTTCCTTTTCAGTGAATATGTCTCTCTATATATTTTCTTGTCTTTTTTGTTACATTTCTTTTAATACTGAGTTTTAAGAGTTCAGAGATGTGGTCTGTAGCTTGTCTTTTTATCCTCTTAGTGAAATTTTCCAGAGAGCTGGAAAGTTTGATGCATTCCAGTTCATGAGTTTTTCCTTTTCTGTATAATGCTTTGTCATTATATCTGATGCCTCACGTGGCTTGAATTTCCTAAAATTTTCTTGTGTGTTATCTTCTGAAAGATAATGGGTTTTATGGGTTTAGGTTTTTTACATTTAAGCCTGTGATCCATTTTAACTTAAGTTTTATAAGGTTTGGGTCCATTTCTGAGTTCTCTGCTCCACTTCCTTAATCTCTGTGCTTATCTTCCTCTCATACCATAAGGTCCTAATTACTGTAGCTATATACAGTAGTATATCCTGAAATTGGGAGACTGGTTATCTGCCTGGCCTCCTTTATTCTTCTTTTTCAGAATTGTTTTTGATGTTCTCTTTCCATTGCCTTGCCATATAATTTAAAGTTAACTTATCTGTGTCCACTACAAAATCTTGCAAAACTTTGGACAAAAATTATGCTAAACCTGAAGGTCATGTTTATTTAGAATAAACATCCTTACTTAAATACTGAAAATATCATCTTTATGTATTGAATCTTTCAGACTATGAACACGGTCTACCTCTGTTTTCTTTCATCAGTATTTTGTAGTTTTCACTGTTAATAGTTTTGTACAGATTTTGATATATTTGTCATCTTTTTTGAGTGGTTACATGTGCCATTGTATTTTTAATTTTAGCTTTCCTATGTTTCTTGCTACTACATAGAAATTTTGTATGTTGATCTTATAGTCTGTGAATTTGCTAAACACATATTAGTTCTTTTTTTGTAGATTCCTTGGCTATAGAGATAATCATGCTATCTACATGTAGGGGCAGTTTTATATCTTCTAATCTGCATGCTTTCTATTTCCTTCCCTTCCCATATTGCTTTGATTAGAACTTGGAATATAATGTTGAGTAGCAGTTATGAGACAGGACAGCCTTGCCTTGTTTCTGATTTCAGAGGGAATGTATTCAGCTTTTAGTATGCATTTTTTCAGTATGAGTTTAGTATTTAACCTCAGTAATTAGTTTTAAATTAGGTATGCTTTCCTTAGTGTTAAGTGTGATATTGGCTGGAAGCTTTTCTAGATATTCTTCAAGTTGAAGAAATTCCCTCTTTTTTAGTTTTATGAGAGAATTTGTCATGAATGGGCATTGAATTGTTACTTTTTTTTGCCTTTTTCCTTCCTTCCCTTCCTCCCTTTTTATACTGGGGGTGGAGCCCAGGCCTTGAGCATGCTAGGCAAGTGCTCTGCTTCAGAGCACTGCATTATTTGATGTGATCATGTGATTTCCATTTTTTCTTTCTTTTTTAGTCTACTTATATCATAGATTACACTGATTGATTTTCAAATACTGAACCAACCTTGCATTTAAGTGAAATAAACTTCACTTAATCATGCTGTTTTCTTTTTTTATTGAGGAATTGTATTTGGTAGTATTTTTGAGTGGGATTCTTGCATCCATATTAATGAGCAATGTTGGCGTACATGTTTTTGTACTTTGTTTTGTTTGGGTGTTCGTGGCTTTAAATAGAGGACATTGATGCATTAAATAGTGGGAGTCACTGCTCCACGGTATGAGGGAAATACAGTAAGTCCTTGAGTTACTAATGTGTTCCATTCTGGGAGAAATTTATTAGTCAGATTTGTTTGTAAGTCTGACCAAGTGAGTCTTACACACCTTTGACGTAACTATACAGTGTAAAGCTTAGAAACACCAAATACTGTGAACAGATTATTCTTAATTTTGCAGTTAATACCTTAACATGGTGATACAGTACAGTACCACCAATTGGCATATAGGGAGGGGATTGCTTTTCCTCTTGCTTCCAGCCATCCTGGCTCTGGTTGAGCATTGTACTACTGTACACTGTTGCACACAGCAGCACAACTGTGACAGTTTTCAGCAGACACATGAGCTACCTACATAATTTATTTGCATCTGTGAATGTTGGGAATGTGAGGTCTGTTTGTATCTGTGAGAGCTGCGTACTGTTTTTTATTTTTTTATTTTTTTTAATTTTAAAAATAAAAGAAGGAAAACATTAACAGACAAACAACCTTTTACAAAATAGCAAAAGAATAGTACAGACAATACAGAGTTACAAACAAAGTGGTAGGGAATTCACAATGCTTGTTGTATTACATATTGATATCTTCAAAGCAGTTTCTCATGGAAACAGACATGCAATATTGATCAGTCAAGGACTCATTAACAGTTTCTTTCAGCAAAGAAATATAAGACAGTAGAACAACTATGTTAACTATCCTGTACATACATACATACAAAATTTCTCCTCCTTTCCCCTCTCTTTTCCTACATCCCAGTTGCCCTTTACCCTTGAGCATTTTCCTATCATTTTACAATGTCTGTCATACCTCCTAGTTTAAATTAACTTTTTCAGGTTTTACACTAGTGAGACAATGCAGTGCTTGCACATGCAGGTCTGATTTATTTCACTTATGACTATGGTCTCTAGTTGTGACCATTTACCTATAAAAGCCTTGAGTTTATCTTTCTTTATAGCTGAGTAATATTCCATTATATAAAAGAACCACAATTTTCTCATCCAATCCTCGGTGGATGGACATTTGGGTTGCTTCCACAATTTAGCAATTACAAATTGTGTTGCTGTGAACATAGATGCACATACATTGCTATGATATGAGGTTTTTAGATCTTCTAGGAAAATACCCAGCAGGGGGATAGCTGGGTTAAATGGGACCTCTAGACCTAGTTTTCTGAGGAATCTCCAAACTGATTTCCACAGTGGTTTCA